TGCCTGAATGCTGCCTGTTTAGACAATAGTCTCTTACTCCTAGATATTGAAAAGCTCTTGATACTTTTCTTCCTCTCATGGAATTTTTCATGCTCACTGCCTGTGGCACAATGTTAACATTCTTCTGCAGCAACCCTAAGCAAGCTTATGGAGAGCCAAGAAGCTTCCGGTTGAAATACAAAATACACCAGGATGCTTCTGGAGTCTACCAGAGTGATTAGAAAAGTTTTTCACAGTGTAAGTCTGTGGTAAAAGCAGCTACATTTGCATTTAGGCAGTTCAACCTCAGAGCAAATCTGCAATACATTACAGCACAGCGATAGAATCTGTTCTTCTGGCTTTAATCCAATAACAATAAAATTCTATGAGTAACCTCAATACTTTAGGTTACTCCACTTAGTTTAATAGAATTGACCTCCTGAACCTTTAAGACATCTACTACATACTGTCCCCTATCTCTTTAAACATGAAGCAGGCTTTTGATGCCTACAAAGTCTCTTGCACAGCATTTTGAGTAGCAGAATATGAATTTGCAAACATTTTGATGTTCCAACTAGGTAAGCACCTACAAATGTCATGAAGTATATCCATCAAAATTCCACAACTCCTTCCCTTAAATTGTGACCCTCACTGGCCTCATCAGAGTTAGATGCAAGAGCAGTTGGCCCTCTCCTGCACATAGAAATACTAAGAAGGAGTATTCACATTTTTTGTATGAAAAAAAAATAAATCTGACTCTAGGAAATTTGCTTTCATCAATAGCATTTTCCAGAGGAAGACAGTGACTTCCCTTCTTGGCCTCAAAGAGCATGTTCCTTGGCATTTCATGTATACAGTCAGAAACCTTGGATTTTGATGAATTCATATACATACCTCTCCTTCTTCCACTTTCATGAAATATGCTTTGTAGCTCTCTCAAAAAAAGCCCTTCGTACTTACTTTTTCATATCAGCAGAGGACTTTCCAAGCTACAGTGATCTTACCTCTGACACTGAAGCCATCACTTTAATAGCAATAGCAAACCAGCATCCTAGGCTTGGAGTATAATGTTGTGCTTTTTTAGGTATTATCTATTGCAATGATCCACAGTACAGCATGATCTGAAATTGCTAGAAATATGGAATTGGAGTTTATCAACTACATGATAAAGTCTAGGATGCCACTGAATTAGACAGCAGCAGAAAGAGGGACTCAGAGTGTTTCTGAGAGAGAAACTCCCCAAACTGCAAGCAAAAGGAAAATCAAACCGTCAGATATACGATGATGCAGCACGAGGGTTGAACTTTCACAACAGCTTATTTAGGCCAAAATGATTCACCTGTCTATAAAGATCACAAAATAAAACTGGATTGAAATAATATTTTCTGTTTCAAATGGTAAAGCTCATCCTCGCTGAAGGCTAATTTCAAATTATTCTTTCTTTACTACAGTAACAAGTCTTTGAAACACAAGATATTCTTGCGAGACATGCAGGACATAAGGAGAGCAGACGCAGTTAGAAGCTCAACTGCAGCATCGCCACATGAACTCTGAAGTATAATGAGAAAAATATAACAAGATTATCTAAAGAAACTCTAGGACATTGCTTCTATATGAGCTTTGCTGACATCTACAACAGTGCATCTAGATTTCTAGGCAATGTGAAGTTATTAATCTTGTAAATTTCTAACTTCAAAGAAAAAACTTGAAAATTTTTAACTTCGAAGCCAATTTCTAAGCTCAGTTAGCACCCTAAAATAATTAGAAGTTATTTCCCAATAGTTTGTCTACATGATTTAAGACATAATCCATATTAACTGCTGCTTTACACTGCAACAACTGCCCTTCTGTTTTGCAGGTCTAACACAATGGTGAAATGTAAGTCTGGTTCAGAGGAGAACTCTTCTCAGCAAAATTTGGAGAATATTACAAGTAGCTCAGGAACGGTAAAAGTAAGACAGAAAAATAAGTGGAGTAAAAAAACTTTCTTCTGAAACACCGTAGAAAATATTTTTACATTTAATGAAGAAATCTCCTAAAATTGATACACCTGTAATAGCAGCAATTTTGTAGCAACACAGCACAGATATAACAGTATTTTTCACGTTCAAGAGATGCATTATTTGATGTGCAAATCAAGAATAAGACTTCCTCTAGGATATAAACATATCAGAATAAATGTCTGATTTGCAGATCCTGAAGGAGAAAGGAGGAGTTTGTCTGCAACACGTTTACTCTTATCAGCTGATGCCTCTTCATGGAACAGGGAAAGTCTACTCTTATTGATGCTGTCCTAATAAGATTTTCAGCCACAGTGCTCCATAGGCATCCTAGCTTTCCCATCACTTACTGAAACACAGAGAACCTTTGTGAGGAGCAACATGAAAAGGAGCAACATAAAAAGAGACTCTTTGGATTCTTTAAGGCCTGCATTTCTCATCCTTTGCCCTCCTGCCTTGATAAGTTCTCAGCCTCCTGTAGCCATGAACCAAAGGCTTCCTGCTTGATTGGATAGGTAGACAAATCAAAAATCAATTTGCTGTTGTGGATATGCATGAAGGGAATATAGAATTTTATCACTGCCCACCATGTTATTTTGCCTCTCAAAGCAAAAATTCCTCCTACGGTATAGAACAGGAGTGGATTTGAGGGCCTAATGTTCAATATTATCTAGTAAGTCACCTTCTGATATTTATAAGCACCTCTCCTTTCATGGTCATGTTAGGCTGGAAAAGTTGGGCTTTTTTTTCTTCTTTCTTTCAGGAGTATAACAGGTGTGGCAACAGGGAATGGGACAAGTAAGGTCACAAGAAAAAATTCTATGTTGTAGATGATCATTCACAGAAGTTCTAGTGAATCAGAAATAGACTGGACAACAGCATCTCTCAAAGAAACTGAGGAACAGGGTGGATATATCCACAGTGTGGAATCTGTCACTTCCCCTAAAAAGCCTTTGTGTTGGATGCACATGTGAAGCTTTGGGGGTTGACAGTGGTTCTCCCCAAAGGGATTAAAGAAGCAAGAATGATCTCTACAACCTCTATTATCAGATAGTTCTTAAGTGTAATAAACTAGTGACCTAGTTAAACCACATTCCTGTTCCTGGTGTCTCTTTTTTTTTTTTTTTTTTTTTTTGTGGTGTCTGAGATAACAGGGAGATTATTTTGGCATCAATTTAATCTAGTTAAATAGCTTTACTGAAGATCTTTATCACTATAAATAATGGAGGTATTTGAAGTATTTGGTTACAATTCTAACTGAAGTTATCCAAAACAATGCCTTTCTAGTAATCCTCTTCTGCTGTTATTTCATTGTCTGAAGAAAGTTATGAATGTTTTGAACACTTTTCAGCAATATGTTAAAGGTACAAAATCAAACAAAAAGAAAACAAAAAAAGGAAAACAAACAAACAAAAAACACAACAAAACAAAACAGTTTGTCCAAGTGTCTGATGAATATTTTAAAAAATTTCCATGACAGATATCATGGAACATTGCAAAGTGGGGTATTCATTTACTCTTCAGTAACAAAAGATAAAGGTGAAAAGAGAAGATATCTGCCTTCTCTTTTCCAAAGCAAAGCAAAACAAAAAAATGCCTAAAATTATTTGAAATGTAACATCGTCTGCTCCAATGCAGCACAGTGAGATGAAGTACTAAAAAGAATAAAGCACATCTGCCTATTTAGCATGTAAAATTTGGGTGAAACATCTCCTGGCCAGCTGACTGACCTGAGACATGAGTGCATCATGGCTGGAATACAGGTACTTGGCTGGAATGTCTGTAATGAAGTCAGCATCACGAGTGGATAAGTTCACACTCAGGGGCTGTTTCCTATTTTTATAGACCTGTGGGAAAAAGCTATAATGACTAGATGCATGAGGTCAGAGCTATGGGGAATTTGGCATAGCAGCAACAGTTTTCCTTAACTTCCTGTTACTGAGTGCATAGAGTTCTCCAGTATGTAATGCATGATTCCAGAATAAAGAATCATAACATTGACTATGCAGTATGTCCTAAACATTACTAAAATGGCATGCTCATTCATAAAGTGGCACACTGCCTGACAGCAAAGTGGTTACTTTGACAAGCTAAGGAGACCAGAATGATTTTGCTGATGGTATTCTCCTCCTCAAACAACAATCACAAAATTCAGTAATGTCACACAAAGGAAAACATCACATACAACACCTTCGGATGTGGTCTGAAAACATCTTTCTCATCCTTTTCACCTACTCTGAAAGATAAGGTTATCTGAACATCCTTTGTCCTCTTGCCTACAGCACCTCTCTGGCAATGACTATTACCTTTTAAAAACCATTAGAAGTAGCCATGGCACAGTATGCAGAGTCTTAAACACTTAATTAGACAGAGAAGAGACCTATGTACTGGGTCTGGTACATGTGTACTGTGCCTAGTATGGTTATTTTCCTCATTAATAAAGCAGAACATAAATTAAATTTGCTTGTGATAAAATCTGTTTCTAGAGTTTATAACTATGTGGTTTTTTATTAAAACCTCAAATGACTTACAGTGTTGAAGACAGGGTGATTTTTACTCATTCGAGAATTTATTTTAAGGATAATCACGATTTCCAGATAACCTCTCAGAAAGCCTGAAATCTTCTGAAACATAATTATTTTACAACAGATAAGCAAATAACTGAACAGAAGAAGGTTAGAAAGAGTCAACAGAATGGCTAGACTTTGCTTTATGGCAAGGAACATTGGCTTTCCTCTGTCTCACATAACGAAGAAGGTTGGAATCTATATGAGGAGGGAAAACAGAAAGTGTATTGGCCGTATATAATATAAGCCAAGCAAATGTGCAGCTATATACTTAACAACCCTAGAGAAGCAACACAGCAACACTTACATTGAATACCTCCTACCTGTTGTAACTGCTGTCACATGTCAGACCTAGCTTGAAAACTTTCAGTATGAGGTAAGAATAAAATAGTAGAAATGAAAATAGTGCAAATTTCCTGTTGCCATGAAAGTATGACAATGAATGTCTCCCTACCTGCTGTTTTAACTGATGTACTAGTCTGTCCTTCTCTCGTTTAAGAGCCATTACTTCCTCTTGAGTCTTCTTTTTCTTTGAAGCAGACAGTTCAAGCAAGGCAATGTTTGCATCTTTTTCACTAATTGCAGCAAGCAAAGCTTCTTGTCTGATAAAATAAAATAAAGTAAAAACTGTTACATTCTCATTAAAACAGAACATATACTACTATATCATACTACATCAGACGTTTCTTTTAACCGCTGGGAGAACAATCAACTACCTTCTGAGCACTTTAAATAGCAAACACTGTCAAGTCTAATCAAATCATGAAATAAACCGATTAGTCAAAAAAGTTTTTTACAGATTTTCTCATTAAATAACTATTTCACAAAATATTTACCTCAGTCTATTTTACCACAATATGATATCTAACAATATTTTGTGAAATGCCTTGCTTTTAAAAATCTTTGGTATTTATTTTTTAAATTCGCTTTCCTAAATTCAAGAATATCTTACATGTGAATTACTCAAATCATACAAATTGAATAAGTAAAGTAATACAGGTAAAACATATTTTTTATATTATCCTGTTAATTTGGCACCCTAAACACCTCAGTACAGAGATCTCTGGACATCATCCTCACATTCACTTAAATGTTTTCCCATGGATTTATTATTAGTCATTGTGTCACCACAAAAATATAATTCTAGAAGTGAAATATAACATCTAGAAAAGAAGTTCCATGATTGAATTGTTCATGAGGAATCTTTCCTTTGTAATCTTGACCTCTCAATCTCCAGAAAGCAAACAGAAACTTACAGCACCCAGAAACATATAGAATTACATAGAAGCTAGCAGGGTCACATTGTAAGTAATAGTTTGTGAGGACATACGACAAAGGTAATTTTTACAACATGCAGTTGCAAACACAGATCTTGCAGTATCTGATCATTTCTTATACTCTAAACCACTCATGTTGTCAAGGCCATAATCTGTCCCTTATTTTCCTAAACAAAAGCAGCGTATTCATCTTCTGCAACCCATTCAATGACAGACTATGACTTATCAGCCAAGAAAAAGCATATAATACTTAATAGCTTTTAGAACAGAATGTGTTATGGCCTATGCCTTTTTCCAGAACTATATAAGATCAATCATTAAAAAATAAACATGGATAAATGAGCCATAAATTAACTTTAGGCTCCAACTGCTAATAAATGTAAGAATACGGCTCATGAACTTCATACAGTCAAGGTGAGCTAGAAGACTGGAATTCTCACAGTCCTTCGTCTTGCCAGCAAAACCGTCAAGAAAGCTATTTCACTTTTATTTCAAAGTTCCTAATGTATTAATGTAAATATTTAAAGGACAATATTTCTGATGGAGTCAAAGAAAAACAACTCATTTATTTTACTCTCAAAGTTATGAGACACGGATCAATTTTAGATAAACAGTTGCATTTTATTCATACGCTTAAATAGTCTCATTTATTATTCTGTCTTCTTCATCCTAATCACAGTTAAATGATGTTTTAAACAGGATGACATAAGCCTCCAACAGTCTTAATTTAAATGAAAGCTATTAATTATTTTAAAAAACAAGTATTAAAGAAAAAATATATCAAAGGCTCACATACCCATAATGCTAATCTGAAATGAGATGTATATTGTTTTCTATTAACCTCATAACAATGCAGAAAAGGTGCTATACGGTAATTTGTGAGAGACTGTTGGCATTTTCACGTGTTGTGCTCAAATGCAGTATCAATTCCTTAACATTTTCATGAAAATCTTAACTTTTTAATGCACTGAAATAGAAGAAAGGCAATTTGCCACTGTTTTCAACAATTCCTCTCACCTTGCAGAAAGCAGAGAATTTATGCACCATATAAAAATCTAAATATGCCCTATTTTGAGCATCTGGCTCAAATAGAAAAATGTAACACAATTTCAGCTTTTTCTCCACAGTACCTTTGAGTTTGTACTTTTCTGTTTTAGAAATATGTCCTAACCCTAGAAGATGTTTTTTTTTTCAGGAGCTTTTTTTTTTTCAAAGCTTTCAGAAAGCTTTTCATAAGCTTTCTGACAGAAAGTGTCAGCAACAGGTATTCTATGACTTTAAAGACAAAGAAACCACATATTGCATCATTATGTAAAATATTCTTCTTCTAAATTAAATAAGATTAGGTTAGTTCCTCTACAGCTATCTGTAACTACAAAGAAAGGTTAGTCAGAAGTTCTGACAATGTTCCAGTGGTTTGCATCAAGGAATATTTTCCAATTTTTAACCAGCATCAAGCAACAATTTTGTTGCTATTTTGAACATTATTAAAAAAAAAAGGTTTCACAACGTTCCTCTGGTTTTGAGGATGTGTAAGACAAAGATTTGGCCTGTCTGCAATTAACATCAGTGGGATTAAACCCTAATCTTTAATTCATGTGTAATCATTGCTGCAAAGTAGATACCTCTGGTAAACAGCAAAATAGATATCCATTTATACCATAATTATCAGCCTAAAGATAGACTTATTTAAGATCTGAATATAAACATTGACATTACCATCACAAACTCCACATACTCAGAATCAAAATAAGTAAAGAAATCTACATCTCAGAAATTCCACGTTTTTAAAGTATATTTAGATTAATTATTAAATTATGTAAGTTAACGCCATCCCAGCCAGACCCAACACAATATGTCTGCTCATCTAATAGCAAATTTCATGGAAGCTACTTGCCATCTAAGAGGTTTCTGATGATGTATGTAACACCTACAGCTGTAAAAAGCCACAGACAGAACTGAATTTTTAAATTGACTTGAAAACTACATGAAGCTATACTGAGATTTTACTACTTCTCCAAAGTTTAAATTACTTCACTGCCTCAAAATTGGCAGTGAAAACACAAATCTGAATAGTGAAGAAGAAAAGTCAGAACTACTGAATTATTTGGTATCATTTCAACATCTGATAATGGGATTTACTCACATCCATCTTTTTTGCACTGCCAGCCAAAATGATCACACATTCTTGTGGTCATATCTGTTCAACTATGCAACAATTTCTAGCCCCACTTTTTAGTAGCAGATGAGGTAAAACCTTCCATGGGAGAGAAGACCCAGTCAACACACTTTGAAAAATCTGCACTCTGGATTCTGCAGCCTAAAACTCACAAGATTTTGCAGACTCTAGCATGCTTTTTCTCAGCTGATGGTGCTGAGGTATTATGAAAGCAAATCAGAAGTTATGGGAACATTTTTGCATGGGAAAGCTAACAAAACCTTTTTTCTCTATTGTCTTGTGGCTCACAGGATAATTCCATTCAGAATGTGACTTCTCCTATCTTGGGAAAATACTTGGGAAAATATGTAACCAAACACTTAATTTCAGGAAATAATGATTCATACCAAACACTTCCAGGAAATAATGGTTCATAGTCATGTGAAATAGCTGCTGTCATATGACTCCATAAGTGCTCCTCTGAGACACTCTAAGATTTGAATCAAACCCACAGAATATACACAAGCTTGAATTACTCCCCAAAATTATTTTCCATATATTTTTTAATTATTATCTTTAAATTTAAGTGGAGTTTGGAGGCCTTAAACCTACAAATGTTGGGAGACAACTGCAAGAGAATACACGGACGGGGATTCCTACTGAAGTCCTTCCACAGCAATGTGGGATGAAGACTACATCTACGCAGATGGGCAGCTGAATGCAAACTCACACTGCCAGTATTCTTGAAGCCACCTGAATGTGAGTCAGCTTCAGTTCAGAAGTTGTAAAGCCTCATTTATCTAAGAGACAAGGTGTTTTAGCTTGGGCATAGTGCCACACAACATGCTGATGGCTTCCAGGCTGGAGCTGGCTCACATACTGCCTGCTCAGAGTGTGGGCAGAGCAAGCTTGCATCTGTCTGCACCTGTCTGCACAGACATACTCCTGGAGCATGTCGGCATATTATCCATGCCTATTATCACGGATAATCTGAACAGTAATAACCTCAAATATATAATCCAGTGGCATTTAACCAGGCATCCAGGTTAACAAGTGTTCAGCAGAGCTGGACTGTATATTCTACCAAATGATACACGTTCTTTGCTTAACATCCTTAGAAATTAACTTCTTCAATACAGAGGGAAGACAGAGAGACTCAACAGGATTTTTATTATTTTACAGTGTACAAAACAAAAATGTAGGTTGTGACAGGGCATCTAAAGAAAGCGAAGCTGCTTCCTTTACTTCTGCATGACCTAGCATACTATCAGGGTTACAGTTCCTCCACCGGATCCCTGGGAGATAGAGATTGAAAATACCTGTCCGTGCTGATGAGGCACCCTAAGTGAAGAGACTCAAGCATTTATGAAGCAGCCTGTGGGGATGGGAACAGACCTGGAGCTCCACATTATCATATCTCATTTATTACATATCACACACAGGTTTACCCATGTCTGTGAAAGTTGCTGTGCTACCCTGTCAATGTACTTCACTTTCTTATAGAAAAAACAAATCTGATGAACAGAAGTGATTTATTTTAGCTACCCAGTGACCCTGTTAAAAAAACTAATATCACCGTTTTTGCAGGAAACATTTGAAATTAGATTATTGGACCAGTAGGAAGAAGGCTGAGATGCCAGCAAAACAGCTGACAATAATTACTTTCTCTCTTACAAACATGAAGTAAACTTCATTCAAAAATGTAAACAGGTGGCAAAGTCTTTGTCTAAATCTCTCAGGTGAGTAATACACTTCCGCTTCACTGCTGAAACTGAACGCGTTTCTGTGCAAGAATTTTTGAAAATCAAGACTTGAAGTGGTACCAAGAACAACAGTCTGATATACTCTCCAGCTAACATGCTTAAGAGTGTAAGTGTAATTTATAATTCCTAATTATCTACCGTGTCAGGAAAAAAAAAGACTATCCAAATACAGTTCTGTAGAGATGTTATCACTATTTGCAGCCAAAATGTCTCCTTATTGTTTAATAAATGATGGTAATAAAATACATTTTAAAATAATTTATTAGAGCACTGAATTAAATGACATTCTTTAACAGTAATATTTATAAAGAGAAATCCTTTTTGCTATGAGTAGTTTTTCCTCTCTTTTTTGGCAAACTAATCTGTTATACAAATAACAGGGTAGTACTTCTAACACCAAGAAA